GGCTAAATGCATCTTTCACTGATCACGAAGCATATATATTATATATATTGTAAAATGATATCCTTTTGTGATCAAGCTACATCAAATATTTTGCTACGTAACTTATATAGTAATCAGTAAATCTACATTTGCCAAATTTCATGAATGTTTCATTCTATTGATTGATGCACATTATCAATCTCGTCACTTCACCCAACCATTATTCTCCTCTTAAGTTCCATCCTACAAAGACAAACATACCAACACACATCGTAAATTCCAAAATCTACACCGAAAATGACATTTTTTTCTAAACCGGTAAATTCTAAACAGGTACTACTACTACATATCAACAACAAAACCAGTAATATAAAATGGTACTGCTATATATCAATGAGTGAATCAGAGTGTTAAGTAGGTGAGTTACCTCATAAGTTGGCGGTCTAGAGCACCAGTGGACATCATACCGCGGTTCTCATATGCCCGTCGAATAAGGTATGGAATAGCAGTTTCGACCGGCCCATACGGCATGTATTTGCTGACATTGAAACCAGCCCTCTTCAACCCGAAGGATAATGCATCCGACATCCCGTAAAGCTGCGCAAATTCAATCTTCCCGTTCTCTTTATCGATCCCGAGCTCACTCGCTTTCTGTGCTCCTAGTTTACCTGTCAAGAACCACAAATGAAAAAAAAAAATAATAATATGTCAAAATCTATGGACAAGACTATAACTTTTGAAAATGTTTCATTTTCATCTCAATATATAGTTCAATATGTTATTAAAATTCGTTTTATTGTGATGACATAGATTATTAGTCATACTTTCACACTTATACAAAGGCTTACCGGAATCTGTGTTATGCGTCGCAAGAATGACAGCAATTCCTGATCCATTTGATGCTTTCTCCATAAGGAAACTCATACATTTATTGTAGCAAGCATGTGTCTCTTGGATCGTCTCGTGAACCGGTGACTTGTAACCCAAGGAATCTGCTAATTTACCTTCACTTGCCATATAAGCACCTCTCACCAATTTAAACCCAATAGGAACATTCATCTTCTCGGATTCTCGTAATGCCAAATGCAGCCTCTCTCCTGCATCTTTCAAATAGGCTTGAATCGTGTTGTAAACAATTGGTCGATCTTTGTCCGAATTGAACATAATCGCCGACCAATACGCCATGTAATCGATTGCTGGTTGGAGAATCGTGTCTTCTGCATCGATTAATAACGGCACATTAGATGCTTGACATTTCTGACAGATTGATTTGATGC